GACGTTTACTGTTTCTGTTGATTATCGTCTTCGCATTTCGCATGAAATGAAACATGAGTGTTGACGAGCATTATTATTACTCATTATTTACATTTATTATTATTACATTATTACATTACATTTATTTATTATTACATTATTACATTATTATTACATTATTACATTATTATTACATTATTACATTACATTTATAATAATAAATAAATAATAAATTATTATTACTCAGCATTATTATTTTTGGCCCATAATACGTTTTTCTAGTGTATAATCATGTCTTTATAGCTTATAATTCAATGTATTTTGTTCATTACCAATAAATTATATTTTGTCGTATTTTTACTCTTCTTTCTCTACATTTTTAGTACACTTCTAAGCAAGTTAGGATTTTCTGCTTTTCACCACGTGAAAAAGCATCTCATCTTCCATCCGAATCAACCAAAAAGTGAAAATTGATTTTTTGACACCTAAGCCCCCTTTCCGTAGACCAGGTCACATATATTTTTCAAAAAAGCATAGCACATTAAATGCGACCCTGTGCTAGTTGTTTTGTTGTTGGCATTGCTACTTATTTCTCCCGTTCCTCTCATTTCGCTCACTTCTTTTTTGCTTGCTAACTATGCTTGCTACCATTTTGCAATGGGGGTCTCTCGTACTCTTTCAAATTTGGAATTTTAGCAGTTCATACAATCCACTCTACGTGCAAGATTTCAAGAAAGTCCCTATTCTTAACAACCTGGCAGGATTAAGTCATGTTACTGCGTGACTAAAGAAAATTTAAGAGTCACTTACCTTAGCTAAAATGGAAACGAAAAGCCAACCAACGGGTAACTGACATGTTAGCAGATGCAATGAACTTAGCAGGCTTGTATTACTTACATATGTCAACAGATAGCAATGTTAATGTAAATGCATAATTACCTATGCATGCGTACAAATGTATTTACATACGTGCGAAAATTTGCGTCAACTCCATATTAAAGCAACGATAAATTTATTAAAAAATAATAAACCTAAGTTGCGAACAATAACATTTTGAATTTTGGTGATACATTTGTGACCATAGCTATAGTTTAGAAATTAAGCCTTTTTAAATCCGTTTCGACTGAAACGCATCTTTTATTAATTAATTTAACTTATTATAACTTATTAATAATTTAAATTTAACTTTAAACCAGGTGGCAACTTTCCTCAGATGCCTCAAAAATATTCTAAATGCTCAAGCTAAATACTGCTTAACACCCTTTCGTTTGACACTAATTTTTTCATATACATAGATACATAACTTGTCCATATTTTAGTCTATTTTGACTTTTCAAAGAGTAGCCCTGTTTAAGCTGCAGCCTTCTAAGCCAACATACATATCACGGTACCCTGCAAATAATTTCAACCATCAAGTTGCTTCCCTTCGCTGATTCCTGTTGCTACTAGTTCGGGGGACCTCGCTGAACATTTTCCAAAAAAGAGAGTCAAAATCCGTCGGGCGCTTTTTTCTATGGTAACTTTTACTAATTCAAATATTACACAGGCCAATAAAAATTTGANAATAATTTAAATTTAACTTTAAACCAGGTGGCAACTTTCCTCAGATGCCTCAAAAATATTCTAAATGCTCAAGCTAAATACTGCTTAACACCCTTTCGTTTGACACTAATTTTTTCATATACATAGATACATAACTTGTCCATATTTTAGTCTATTTTGACTTTTCAAAGAGTAGCCCTGTTTAAGCTGCAGCCTTCTAAGCCAACATACATATCACGGTACCCTGCAAATAATTTCAACCATCAAGTTGCTTCCCTTCGCTGATTCCTGTTGCTACTAGTTCGGGGGACCTCACTGAACATTTTCCAAAAAAGAGAGTCAAAATCCGTCGGGCGCTTTTTTCTATGGTAACTTTTACTAATTCAAATATTACACAGGCCAATAAAAATTTGAAAAAATTTATCTATCCTAAACTTAAATAATATTCAACTGAAAATAGGAATATAAGTACTTAATTTACGAAAATTCTAATAAAGAAAATATAAAAGTTATTAACTGCAGGTAAATGGCGCACAATATTACTCCATGCATTAATTTTTTTTTGTTTAATACGATCTCGGTGTTATTGTTGACAATTTGTCCTTCTCCTTCCGACTTTGCTAATTTGCACATTTCTCAATGCAGGCACTAACTTGGATGCTTGCAATTTAAATACTTTGAAGCGCCGTGGAAAAGTAGGCCATACAGCGAATCGAATCGTTGTGAAGGTGGGTATACCAAATGGGTCCGGGTGAGGTATCAGGTGAAAAAATTAGTTGTGCCATTTCTGACTGTGCGACGTGCCAACAGCCAGAGGGTACAAAATTTCCTGTTTGCAGTAATTTAATTTGTTTGTTTACTCCTTTCTTTATAAAGAAACGTTTGAAGCAGCGAAAAATAAGAGCAGGCAATATGCCACCCACCTGCTATCCGCCGAGTGCTTGCTGCCCTTTCACCAGTTTAATTAATTACCAGCTCGTTTGTGCCTGCTGAATGAAAGATTGAATAAGGGCTTTAGAATAATACAGAAAATGTAGGCAGCAGGAAGTCACACAGCAGGATGCATTCTAAATTTCACACAATTAGATTTAATTAAGCAATAAAGCAAATCAAGATTATATTTAGTATAAAAAGCCAGCCTGTTTGTCATTACTGCTCACTTTTTCTTTTTTTCTTTTTTGTGCTTTGCAGACTAATAATAAATAATAATATTACGCGCAACAATAACGGTGCACGTAAATACGTACGAACTTCGCTGCGTCAATGTTTCACCGCAGCTAAGGAAAGGGCAGTTGCAGCTGTGTCGCTTAAGTGATCGCAAATAACTGTGATGTGTATGTATGTTAGCATGTACGACTGGCAGATAGTACAGCAATTAGTCACCCATATCCACGCACGGTAATCTTAAGCGCNAAATCAAGATTATATTTAGTATAAAAAGCCAGCCTGTTTGTCATTACTGCTCACTTTTTCTTTTTTTTCTTTTTTGTGCTTTGCAGACTAATAATAAATAAAAAATATTACGCGCAACAATAACGGTGCACGTAAATACGTACGAACTTCGCTGCGTCAATGTTTCACCGCAGCTAAGGAAAGGCCAGTTGCAGCTGTGTCGCTTAAGTGATCGCAAATAACTGTGATGTGTATGTATGTTAGCATGTACGACTGGCAGATAGTACAGCAATTTGTCACCCATATCCACGCACGGTAATCTTAAGCGTTGCTTGAGCATCGTACGCATGCGTCAGTCACGATAATGAATTATGTGAATAGTCATAGCGTCGCAAGTAGCATCGGCAGTACGAATAGCACCACCATCACCGCCACCACTAACTACAAAAACAAAAACTTCAACAATGTCTATGCCTCGAGCAGTAGAGGAGGAAGTGCCCCCCCACCTGACACCGTCACCGGCGTTAATAACTCGCTTTACTATTGGCAGTATACGGCAGATGAGCTGTCCGAATTCTCACTCGTCGCACCAGAGCTGGAGCCTTCCATGCAACAACTATCTTCAGCGCCGCAGCAACCCGCATCAACATTCTCATATCAGCAATCAAATACCCGCTCTGACAATCGCACCACGGAAGCTCAAGGCGAACCGCCACCTCACTTCTATACAAGCTTCAACATCTCCGACGATATCTTTGACTACTTCAATGGCTTTCTCGAAAGCGCCGAACAGCAGCCACAGCAGCTGTTGACCACTACTGGCACTGAAGTTATCACTCCAACCACCGCCTCTACAGTCATCGCCTCCAATCGCTCGCTGACATCGTACATATACGATGTTAGTAATGGCACCCGCGATCCGCACCTGGGCGAGTTTCTCGGCCTGCTTCCCAACGATCGTATCTCGCTATTATCGTTTCTCTTCCTCTTCTCTTTTGCCACCGTATTCGGAAATTCACTGGTAATTTTGGCTGTTATACGTGAACGTTATCTACACACGGCTACAAATTACTTCATTACGAGCCTGGCGGTAGCTGATTGCTTGGTGGGTTTGGTTGTGATGCCCTTTTCGGCGCTGTACGAAGTGCTTGAGAATACGTGGTTCTTCGGTACCGATTGGTGTGACATTTGGCGTTCGCTGGACGTACTCTTCAGCACCGCCTCCATACTGAATTTATGTGTGATATCATTGGATCGTTATTGGGCCATCACCGACCCCTTCTCGTATCCGATGCGCATGACAGTGAAACGGGCCGCTGCGCTCATTTGCGCTGTGTGGGTATGTTCGAGCGCCATTAGCTTTCCAGCGATTGTGTGGTGGCGTGCGGCGCGGGATGGAGAGATGCCCGCCTACAAATGCACCTTTACGGAGCACCTCGGCTATTTGGTATTCTCGTCAACAATCTCATTTTACCTGCCACTGCTAGTCATGGTTTTCACATATTGTCGCATTTATCGTGCGGCGGTGATTCAAACACGTTCACTAAAAATCGGCACCAAACAAGTGCTAATGGCGTCCGGTGAACTGCAATTGACATTACGCATCCATCGTGGTGGCACGACGCGTGAACCTTCGACCAGTGCATCGCATCATCCGACAATTCACGGTTCGCTGGGTGGCGCGCCCAGTGGCGAAGGCGCACAACACCATCGGCACCATTCGCATCTTCACTCGGCACATCACAATCACAGTACGTCCGGTACGACGACTTCGACACCCGAAGAGCCCGACGACGAGCCACTATCGGCGCTGCACAATAATGGCTTAGCACGGCATAGACATATGGGAAAGAATTTCTCTTTGTCACGAAAGTTGGCGAAATTCGCCAAAGAGAAGAAGGCAGCCAAGACACTGGGTATAGTAATGGGTGTATTCATCGTGTGCTGGCTGCCGTTCTTTGTTGTAAATCTTCTTTCCGGTTTCTGCGTGGAATGTATCGAGCACGAGGAAATAGTGTCGGCGATAGTGACCTGGCTGGGATGGATAAACTCCTGCATGAATCCGGTGATATACGCCTGTTGGAGCAGGGATTTCAGGAGGTAAGTAATAATATTCCCAAAGATCAAAATACCAATATTAGGTTTTTGATCATGATCTGCGACTAGCCCTCTTATAAATCAGTTTTGAGCAAAAAGAAAAAACGTTAAAAATAGGTGTCCTCTAAATTACAAAATTCATGATTAATTTTTTAGAAATTTTCCAAGCTCCAGCATATCTTCTGGCGCAGTGCCGTTGGCATTTAGTGGCTATAAACTTTATAGTATAAAGTAGTGTTTCCTTGTGAGTTTAAGAAAATAAGTTTCTAATTTTGGGAGTTGTAGTTTATATGTCTTTAGAAAAGATTTAAATACTAAACAAATGTTCATCTTCATACCAGTTATGTTGCTACCCAAAAATAATACAAAGCTCAATTTCTTTGGTTTACGGGTTCGGAGATTCAAAAGCTATTCTAAGCCTTTCACTTTTCCACCGTAGCACAAGAGCAGTAGTATGTCGCGTGAATACTTGCAGCTATAATTTGCTTATGAAGTTAGCTTGAGGTAACGACTACGTGCGAAAATACTCGCGCATATAGAACAGTTGACATGTTTTCTACGAGTATATCATATACAATTTTACACCCTTTTTCAGCTATATTTCTTACGTAAATGTTATATATCATTAGAAAGGTATTTTGAAGGTGAAGTGCGAAAATTAAATATTGATACTTATAGAGCTAAGCTTGGTAATATCTATATAGTACAAATCGTCCTAATTCACCTTAACTTATCTAAACTCACCTCACCTGAACTCAGTTCACCTTAATTAAACGCATTTCCAACTCAACTGAACTCAACTCAACTCAACTGAACTCAACTCAACTCAACTCAACTCAACTCAACTCAACTCAACTCAACTCAACTCAACTCAACTCAACTCAACTCAACTCAACTCAACTCAACTCAACTCAACTCAACTCAACTCAACTCAACTCAACTCAACTCAACTCAACTCAACTCATATTTCTTACTTACCTAGGACTCCTTTCCGACTCATATATTCTGAGCGCTCAGAACATGTTTGCGGGGAGTAAACAGGAAACTTTGTACATGCAGGTTTGCATGAATAAGTATGTAAATGAATTTTTATAAGGCACAAATTTGCTTCAAAGTGACTACAACGAAAAACAACAGCGAATATATCTGGAGGTTGTGTAATCTTAAAGTGGCATGCTTGTTGATAGGCGGTAAAAGAAATAGCAAGTGACTGAAGCTAAACAAGCGCATAGTTCTGAGCCATAGAGCCATAGTTCAGCCTCTATTGGCGCAACGGCTTCAGTGAAATTCTACCTGGTGAAGGTTTTCAACGTTCTGCCCAATTTACTATCGCTCCTATAGATCTTTTTTATTGAAAGTGCTTTAAGTTATTGGAAAGGAAGGCCTTTCTAGCCATCCTAAATATGGTCCCATTTAAAATGGAAGCGCTTCGTAACGATTACAACCTCCCAAAGAACTCGACCAATCACAAGCTCCGCACACAATTTCCAAGCCGCAGTGACTGTATTCGAGGAGATATCCGGTTCACGGAGTGAATGTCTGTCTTTATTGACGGATCAAAAATGGTTTCCGGGTAGGTGTATGGATTTTCATTTAACAACTTAATCTGAAGCTATCTTTTCGCCTACCGGACCACGCAATCGCTGTCAGGAAGTATTTTCTCTGGTGGTCAGGCGTCAATGCAGGCGCTCTCCTCTTCCTCAACTCAACTCAACTCAACTCAACTCAACTCAACTCAACTCAACTCAACTCAACTCAACTCAACTCAACTCAACTCAACTCAACTCAACTCAACTCAACTCAACTCAACTCAACTCAACTCAACTCAACTCAACTCAACTCAACTCAACTCAACTCAACTCAACTCAACTCAACTCAACTCAACTCAACTCAACTCAACTCAACTCAACTCAACTCAACTCAACTCAACTCAACTCAACTCAACTCAACTCAACTCAACTCAACTCAACTCAACTCAACTCAACTCAACTCAACTCAACTCAACTCAACTCAACTCAACTCAACTCAACTCAACTCAACTCAACTCAACTCAACTCAACTCAACTCAACTCAACTCAACTCAACTCAACTCAACTCAACTCAACTCAACTCAACTCAACTCAACTCAACTCAACTCAACTCAACTCAACTCAACTCAACTCAACTCAACTCAACTCAACTCAACTCAACTCAACTCAACTCAACTCAACTCAACTCAACTCAACTCAACTCAACTCAACTCAACTCAACTCAACTCAACTCAACTCAACTCAACTCAACTCAACTCAACTCAACTCAACTCAACTCAACTCAACTCAACTCAACTCAACTCAACTCAACTCAACTCAACTCAACTCAACTCAACTCAACTCAACTCAACTCAACTCAACTCAACTCAACTCAACTCAACTCAACTCAACTCAACTCAACTCAACTCAACTCAACTCAACTCAACTCAACTCAACTCAACTCAACTCAACTAGCTTTAGTTTTAGGTGCTGAATTTCAACCGCTGGGCGAACACTAGTAACAAGAATAGTAGGCAATCGTAGTAAATCAAAGTGTTTAGTTTTTTTTTTCAAGAAGATTGAATTATAAAAATTTCAAAGGACGTTTAATCTAGTTGGACGTTTTGACCACAAACTACAATTTTGCGTACAATACCTGTTTTACACCATCCCATTTTTACAATTTCATTTCTAAAACATCTAATCATATACCGTCGCTCCCAACGAAGAGTAGCACATCTCAAATTACCGTGGAAGACTAGCACGTTTTACTTTAAACCGGAGACGTGCAGTTTTCGCGGCTTAACAATCTGAAATATGCTACTCTTCCAAGCGAAAATCTGAAATGTGCTAGTCTTCCACGCAAAAATCTGAAATGTGCTAGTCTTCCACGCAAATAACGAAATGTGCTAGTCTTCCACGCAAAAATCTGAAATGTGCTAGTCTTCCACGCGATTAGTGAAATGTGCTAGTCTTCCACGCGAGAATCTGAAATGTGCTACTTTTCGACGCGAATAATGAAATGTGCTACTCTTCGTAGGGACCGACGATACTAACTATGTACGTAAAAACATACATACATACATACATACATAAAAGCATACAGCATACAAAGTAAACATGTACTCGTTCTAATGCTGGTAGAAGCCAAATTTTAGCGCCAAATCATTGCTGCTTTGTTGTTTATATATAGTATGTGTATTTTATACGCCTGTACAGATTTTTATTTACGTACATATGTAATATGAAAGAAGCCTGCAGGGAATGGCGTACCAAATGAAAACGTTCGAGTTGCACCTTTGGTAGACACTTCGTTCCTCATACAAAAACAAAAATGTCAAAGTGAAAAATCGATATTAAATCGGACCGCCACCAAAAAGAAAGTTCGCCATACGCGCCTGAGTTAAAAATGTAAAACAATTCACACTAATATAGTTGCAGGTCTTTTGTAAGACAATCGAACGACAGTATGCCAGATAATTTGAAAGATTTTGTTTATTCTTGCACGAAATTCTTGCTCTATTTCCAACTTTCTTGGTGACAAACTCTTTTGAAAGAAAGCACTTGAGCATGTTCCAAAGAGAGCAAAGGACTGGCGTGGCAATCGAGAGATCCAAAGCTCGAATCCTCATCCTACGAATATTTTTCTATTTATTAAATAAATTTTATATTTTTATTTAATTATCTCTTAAATTTTAGATTGTATCTTTTGAAAATTAAATATACATTTTTGCTTTATTTGAATTTTTAAAAACATATTTTATTTACTTCTTTTTTTTTATTTATTTATTTATCNTACATTTTTGCTTTATTTGAATTTTTAAAAACATATTTTATTTACTTCTTCATTTTTTTAATTAACAATTTTTATTTAATTTTCATTTAATTTGTACATATAATTTATTTATTATGCGATTTTTTATTTACATTTTTGTAAATTTATTTACACACAATTTTAGGATTTTATTGTTTTAAAAGGGAACTTTTTAATTTCATTTAATTTTTAGGAACTTCTACTTATTTTTATTTAAATTTATTTATGTATTTTTTATGATAAGATTTTATTACTTTAAAAATATAAATACTTTGTTGATCCCACTTAATTTTTATAAACCCAAATAGCTGTTTACTTTTTTCAATTAAATTTTTAGATCTTATTATTTTAAGAAGAATGTTTCTTGTTAATTTCGCTTAACTTTTAGAAACTTATTTCATTTTTTTGTCTGTATTTAATTAAATTTTCTTTCAGTTTTTAGATTTTATTCCTTTAAAAGGAGTTTATGTTTTTTTTTAATTTCATTAAATTTTTAAAAACATTTATTACGTATTTTGTTCGTTTTTTATTCAAATTTTTTCGGCTAATTTTTTTTAGATTTTATATTTTATTGTTTTGAAAATGAAAATACTTTTTTACTTTCATTATTTTAAGACTTATATAATAAAAGTCTTTTCATAATAATTATGTGTGCGAAAAACATTGTTTAAGTCTTAAAGGACGGGGCTTATTCTGGACCATTTGGGGAGTAGTTCGGGGTTAATTGGGGGTAAATTAGGGACTAGTTGAGGCGAAGTTTGAAAACAGTTTGAAACTAGGTGGGCAGTGGTTTAGGACCAGTTGGGGACCAGGCTGATTGATTGCTTCGCTCTGCTTGTCGGCTGTGTTAATATCACTACTTTTGAAATGTTGGAACCAGTTCCCACTGGCTGAAATTGATAGAGCATGCTCTCTCTAAGCATTGAACAGCAGCCGATGACTTTCTGCTGCCCTTTTCGTCAGATGGAAGCAAAATCCCAATGCTTCCAGCATTTTACCTGAAGTTCCTACGTACATAAATTTCTGCACTCCAACTAAGTATGTATTACAATGCTAAAACAATCGCATCACCTTTAAGGAATAAGTAAATTTCCCAGCAGGGTATCTTGCAGCCTGACACCATTAAGCAAAAAAAAATCTTATCGAATACTTACTATATACATAATTTTCTTGAGCAATAGCTTTATTGTGCCCTTGGGAAAAAATATGTTCGGTCTACAGCCACCACCCCACTGCACTACATCAAAATCTGACAGCAAATTTTTTATTTTTTTTTGTTTCTCCCTTATTTTACCTCAACGCCAAATTTGCTTATTAATGGAAAATAAAGCACACACTTACTAATTTATGTTGTAGGCAATGTAGGTATGAGTACTTGTACATAAGTGGAAAGGAAGGACATCTACATAAACCGTTTTAGGCGATATTTTGCGACTAAACGCCAGATAAAAAGTGAAAAGGAAATCTCATTGTCCTTTAAAACTTGAGTGCCAAGCAAAAACAGCCCAGCAAACATTTGGAGTCATAAATGAGTCTTTAAGGAGTCCCATTTCGGAGCCTTTGTGCTCATTATGAGCTCTTTTAAGAGTCCGAGTCTGCGAAGGTCGTCCTATATGAGCTTAAATTCATACATCAAATGAGCCTCAATATGAGTCATATTGGACTCTTATTGGCCTCATATACGGCTCATTTTGGACTCTTTTTGAAGCTCTTAAATGACTCTTATTGGCTTCATAAATGCCTACTTTCGGAGCTCCTTGTATGCTGTTCTGACTCTTATTCGCTTTATTCTTCAACTCTCTTAATGAACTTACTTTAGAGCCATGTTAGCAAGGAATTCATTTCAAATACTGTTGCATATTTATATAAAAACCTCTGCGCATACATACATATGTATATACATATGTTCATATATTCCAGCATTCATGTAATAGCAGTTGCTGCAGCTAAATTTTGTTTATTTTTCCTTCCTAATTATTTTTCATATCTGTATAAACAAGTTTAGATATAAATTTCTAGTCGTTATTGTTTTTATACTGGCACAAAGTGCTGGCTCATAACTTGGATCATATATGACTCCTAAAAGATTCATATAAGAGTAAAAAAATTTTTGTTTTTGAAACTCATATTTCTTACCTACCTAGGACTCCTTTCCGACTCATATATTCTGAGCGCTCAGAATATGTTTGCGGGGAGTAAACAGGAAACTTTGTACATGCAGGTTTGCATGAATAAGTATGTAAATGAATTTTTATAAGGCACAAATTTGCTTCAAAGTGACTACAACGAAAAACAACAGCGAATATATCTGGAGGTTGTGTAATCTTAAAGTGGCATGCTTGTTGATAGGCGGTAAAACAAATAGCAAGTGACTGAAGCTTAGCAAGCGCATAGTTCTGAGCCATAGAGGCATCCATACAGTTTTTAAATGTTTTATATAATATCCTGTAGGATTTTTCGGTGATTTATATCAGAAGATGACCCCATAAAATGTGAATAATTAACTTGATGTCTGGCCTTTTCAACATTTAGCTTCCTAAGAATCCACCGATTGTGCATAAAGCACTTTATATCTCCTAACGAACATGACTAGCTCCGTTTTATTGGACCTTTTCCTTCCTCGAAGATATATCCGCTGCCTATGCATCTCATCCAGTGGCGGAGACTTAAAGGGCTTAAATGAGTTAATTGTCTAGTTCTCCAGAATAGACAAGGCAAGTCCATCCAACTCCCAGATATGCGCCTGCATCGCGACCACGAATCATAGCAACCTTCCACATTGGCCTTTCTTAACTCGCACTTCTACAATACCCAATCCACTTTAAATATGTAAGAAAAAAGAAATAACTATGCCAACTGCGTTGTTAAAATACTTAAAGGAATCCAGAGATCAGCCTCTATTGGCGCAGCGGCTTCAGTGAAATTCTACCTGGTGAAGGTTTTCAACGTTCTGCCCAATTTACTATCGCTCCTATAGATCATTTTTATTGAAAGTGCTTTAAGTTATTGGAAAGGAAGGCCTTTCTAGCCATCCTAAATATGGTCCCATTTAAAATGAAAGCGCTTCCTAACGATTACAACCTCCCAACTCGACCAATCACAAGCTCCGCACGCAATTTCCAAGCCGCAGTGACTGTATTCGAGGAGATATCCGGTTCACGGAGTGAATGTCTGTCTTTATTGACGGATCAAAAATGGTTTCCGGGTAGGTGTATGGATTTTCATTTAACAACTTAATCTGAAGCTATCTTTTCGCCTACCGGACCACGCAATCGCTGTCAGGAAGTATTTTCTCTGGTGGTCAGGCGTCAATGCAGGCGCTCTCCTCTTCCTCGATTAGGGCACAACTTGTGGGGGACCATGGAAGAGAAATGGCCCTAAATTCTCATTACTTAGAAATCATACCCGACGCTCTTCGCTACACCCTGCAACTTTCAAGATCTATCTCTAGCTAAATACACATATGAAACGTATCTTAATATCAGAAGCTTATTGCAATGCTTTTGAATATACGATATACTTTCCTAGCATATCTGGTGCGCAAAAAAATTTATGGTTCGGTTGACAATCCGTGAACATAAAAAATATAGTAGTCCATGCGAAAAAAATTCGCTATTTAAGAGTAAACCTTCTCCTATAAATTTTCAAGGATTAAATTAATATTTTCAAATAGATTATTTAGTTTTCTTTTGCCGCCCGCAGAGTTCCTAATACTTAGCATTGCGTAGAGATTAAAGAGAGTGTTCGAGAGTTTGACAACTCCTAGTGAATTTAAGTAACCTGCTCTGAGTTTGAATGAAATCGGTCTGTAAATACAATTTTAAAGATATCTTACCTCCAGCGCCACCCAGCGGAATTTTTTTACCCTCTGCAGAATAGGCACCAGTGCAAATATATCCAATGGATTTTAACTCAATTTGGCAAAGTAGTTTGCAAGTCTATAAACAGAGACACACGGGCTTTTTATAAATAAAATTTACGTAATTACTTTTTTTCCAAAGAAAAATTAAGTGACAACTTCACTCGAAAAGATTTGAAACTTTCTCAAACACCTTTAATTTGACAACCATATTCTGTTAATTAGTAGTTTATAAATTAGGTGGCAGCACCGTCCATTCGGAATAAGACCAAGCTGATTGTCAGTCCGAGGGAAGAACCAAAAAAGTTATAAGCGGGCACACACACAGTTTTTTTCATATTTATAAAAAAATAAGATAGTTGATATTGCATTTTGAGATGGGTCACAACCCTATTTGAAAATATGTATTCTTAAATAGACTTCATGTTAAGATTTATATTGTGACATATAACATAACTTACGCATTTTATTCATTTTACTTTTTATACATACATACGTATATGTGGCAACTCTACGCTTTTATTTTATAATATCTATAGACAGCTTCTAGGTCATGGGGATACATGTAACGTGGCGGGCGTGGGCGCCTAGCTAAGGGAAATCAAAAGCATATTCAGCGAAGTTTACCATTTCAAAGCTAAGCAAAAGTAAAGTTGTACAGGACCCATTTAAAACCAAGGCGCTGTTAGGAATGAATAGGGCAAATCCATACAAACTCACAGCGGTCTCCATATGGCACTGGCCAAAGGGTTCGCTATACTTTTAAACAGGTTCTGCCGCAGCTGTAAATATCCAGGCACAAAGGAGATAGCTGAACACTGATAGATATTGGAAGGTAGGCACTTAAATGCCCTTAAAATGCTAAGGGTTGCCGTCGAGTATCCCACCAAGGGTTAGTATCGCTATTTACCTCGCAACACACTTCTGTATGTACATATGTACATATGTTTGTAGAACATGTTTACCAATATCTTACATATAAGCGGCATGTTTACCAGAACTTTTGTGTTCTATTTTCACTGCAAATACAAAAGAGTAATAAAATCAAAGCACAGCCCACTTTTGCGGGTTTATGTAAAATGTGCTGAGCTGAGATTTCCTTCGTACCCCAATTGCTTACAAATTATGCTGATATGCGAATTTAAGATTTTTATTTTTACATTTCAATGCGCTTATTTAAAATTTTCATAAATTTTGCTGTTGTTTCCTTTCAGAGCTTTTGTGCGTCTGCTATGCGTTTGTTGCCCACGCAAAATACGCCGCAAATACCAACCGACGATGCGTTCTAAATCACAGGTAAGTTTGCGGTGTGCCATAATTAAGTTGCCAGTGTGGCAGGTACGATGCCTTTTAATGCGAATTTATTGAAAATTTCAATAATTTTTTTTTAGCTTTTTTTACCTAACTATTTAAGCGTTTTGTTACTTATACATATGGGCTTTCGTTTGTTTTTTTTTTTGTTTACTGCTAGCGGTTATTTACTCTTAAAGCCAGTTAAATTTATTTTATGTTTAAGTTTCTTTTATTGCCCTTTTATGTCAATCAAACAAGAACAAATAAAGACATGCAGTCAAAAAGTTTAGCAAATAAATACCACCAAATCAAACAAAAACATAAAAATCAAATTGATGGCAAACAAAAAATTAAACTAATTAAATCACACAACCGATAGAGAAGAGATCGCCAACAACAATATTATTTGATAACAACACATATCCACCCAAGCACAAATGATTTACAGCACAATCAAGTTTACTTTTTTATAGAGCCCACAAAATCCACGAGAATCAAACTACGATTACACCGCACCCCGCCTCTACAATATATATATATATATATATATATATACAATATTTATGGTGACTTGATACTCTCAATCACTTCCGCGCTAACGGCGTCCGCGTTCAGTAACAAATACAAGAAGAGCGAAAAGGAAGCACACTAACTACAACAATAACAATAAACACCACTTAAATAAATAAATAACAAAAAGAGCTTAGCACAATCCAAACCGCAGCCGACCCGCACGCATCATTTCTCTAGCATTCAAAGTTTCCGTTTATAAATTTTGGTTTTTACATTTCCTGCAATTTGATGCTAACCACGCCATTTAAGCTGGTATTTGGAATATGAGATAAAATTGAAACTTTTTAATTGCAACAACAGTTGAAGAGTTTATAATTCATTTCAAAGTTATACGTACCTCAAAAAAAGAACAACAAATTGCATTTTTTTTCACTCGCTTTGCGCATCTACAGCAGCCGGAAGGCTGATAAAATGAAAATTTGTATATCTACTTTCGAAAGTCTCAAATGATAATTTGAAAATGGTTTCTATTCAACAGCACAACAGCATTCTTTAATCAACAAAAGGTAACCGAACTCCTAGTGAAAAAGATCAAGTTATTTAAAATAATTGTCGAGAAAGATTTACTCAGTCTAACCGCACATTTTTTTTGCAAAATATAATACAATAGTTTTACTTATTCAGAGATAATAAACCATTTGTCGGTTTCGTGCTTAATTATTTCAGTAATTTGAGAAATATAAGAAACATATTTGTATACAGTTTTAACGTCTTAATTTCGCCAACTAGAACATTTTAGATATCCTTAGATGGAATCAGTGTTGCCAGACATTCTTCGTTAAATTACCCACGAAAATTGGGTAAAAATCCCTCAATTACCAATATCTTACAAGTGCTTATCACAAAATTCCCAAAGAATTCAAAACATATACATATTTCAGCAGTAAAAAGGAATGGCAAAAAAAAGTAAAATAATCGATTAAATAATCATATGATTAATCACAAGCCAAAAAAATATTTAGAAATAATCGATTAATCGATTTTTTAAAGGCACTTTTTTTACAGTGAGTATTCACAAAAACACTTTTTCATAAAAAAAGTTCTAATTATTTTGTTATATAGCCTTAAATAAAGTAAAGCGGTTTAACCAGGTTCGCCGAAAAAAACAAAGTGGTTAAGTGGTTGCGTTTCTCGGTGGCTGTATGTAGCACCAGCTTTCGAAAAAAGGCATTCAGCGGACATTTAGATAACAACTAAATGACAGTCTTTGTTCGAAAGTCCATAAAGTTTTGCGTAAACAGTTTTCAATTCCTCCCAAGCGTCGATGATATTCCGCTTTAGTTCTAGGACTTGACAATTTAAATAAAAATTCATTTAGCTAGGGTAAATAAAATAAATACTCAAGTACAAATTTGTACAGTTTTTTTTTCTATTTCAAGCAACTATGTGGTTAGGGAAAAATATATAAAAAAAAATGTGGTCTACTATTTTTAAATTTAATTTTTTTGCTCCGAATCCGCATTTTGAATTAAAAAATCTGACATCGCCACCTTGAAAACCCCCGTATATTAAAGTTTATGGTAAAAATGAGAAAATCATAAAATTTAGTCGCCATATTGGATCGGCAATTTTGATTTTCAAAAATCTGACATCAGCGACCTCGAAAACATTATTTATACGAGTTTGTGATGAAAAGTAAAAAATTATAAAATTTGGTCTCCATATTGGATTCGAAATCAGCGACCACAAAAGCCCCCAAACACCAAGTTCCAAGTCAATGAATTCATACATAGCCATCTCTTCAGTAGCTTCACCCCGAATGCAAAAACCACTGCAGTCATGGCGAATAGAGAGCGTAATGACGATCGTGGTATATGTCTAGCGATGTATTCATTCAATAAAATCAGCGAGATGATATTTGATATTTGTCTATTTCAGTCTACTCAAAACCACTTTCCAAATCCAGCTACATAATAAAAAATAAGAGAGTGCACCTTTTTAAATAAAACAGTTTACCAACTCTACATACAAAAACCCATTCCCAAATAACCACACTGCAGTAGTAAGAAACTATTTAAAACTTTTCGACAAAAAAGTTTAAGCTAATCAACAACATCCATACATAACCACTTACCCATACATAACCACTTGGAACTTTAAACACTTAACCCTCTAAAAGAAGCCCACGTTCACCACCCGCATATACGCACACAATACTATTATATTAATACAATACAAATTATCAGTCCAAACACAATGCCCCACCTTAGCAACACCCAGCCACGGATCCCACAAAACCGAACTGCAAACAAATAACATTTACGTAAATATGTATGTACATGCGAAAATAGAGTAAGAAAATATGAAAAATCGACAATTAATTATTGTTTTTGCAGAGATTTGCAACACGTCGTTGCTATTCGACATGTTCGCTGCATGGCATTCAACATGTGCGGCATAATTCCTGCGAACAAACTTATATCTAGTGTTAGTTGCACTGCTTCTGGTGCGCGACAAACGCCAAGGGGCCCTAATATTAATACATACATATATGCAAAATGCATGCACACGCTAAAATGCAAACTTAATAGTGCTAGAGATGACACAAAGTGCAATTTAATCAGAAAGAGAGGGAGAGAGTGAGAGAAAGAAAGAAGGCAATACACAATGTATAGGATTATTTTTTAGCTACGCACGAGCATTAAAAGTCAATGTACTTATGTACTTATATATACTTACATACATATTTATACGGCAACTAAAAAAGAATTCTTGAAACAACAATAAATTTACTCATAACAACTGTAGACGTTCTTATTGCAACAATACAAAATTTTACGGCAGGTACGTACTATTGTCCCGAAATTAAAACAAACAAAAAAAAAACCGAATAAATATTAGTGTTTGTGTTTATGTGTCTCACCTTGTCATCCGCGTCGATTGTGCAAACTTCCTGCACTTCCTCAAACATGTATTGTTATCACTTGATGATCGCACAGATAACACTGCCACTTATCGTGAATAGATATATGTATTTGCATATGTTTGTTGAACTTGCACGACTCTTATTTTGTGGCAAGTTCTACAGTTACATATATTGTTGATACGTAACAGTACTCCTTGTCTCCTTTGGTTATATTTTAATTGTCGTTTGTTAAAAGTTTTCCATTTTTTGTTACATATAATAGATTGAGGTTAATCAAATGTTCTTTTGTCAGGGTGTAACATTATTTAGCGTAGATATTGTTTAGGATTGAGTTTTATTGAATATTATCAACAGTCTTATGAAAAGTCCTAAAAAAAATTTACGAGCAGTTTCTTTAAGTTAGGTTAGTTTGTTTGTTTGTTAGTAGTTATAAATAAATTAGCATAGATCAAAATTTAAAAAATTGTGCTTCATCACCTTTCTTTCCATTTAAAATTATGTAGGTCCACTCAAAATGATCACGATTTATACGTTGTCATGCATGAGGCAATTTTCCATATATGTAATGTAAACTACAAAGGACTTTGCACAGTGGTTCAAAACTGTAATTTACTGTTTGTAATTCACTGTAGCCTTCATTTTTCAACTATGTCGATATATGTATATATTTTTTTTTTGTAATGAAAGCTTATAAAATTAAGAAGAGATCAATTGAGCCCGATGTTTGAATTTTTAATTGTTTGTGTTAAATTTTTTGGTGTAAAGTGCAGAAAAAGTTCCAATGCTTGATAAAATCGATTCAGCTGTTGCAACTAATAAAGGGTACACAATAAAACCCAGTTGAAAACAATTACAAGGTCGATATTTTTGGAAACAATTTTTACGAAAATAAATTTTTTTTTGAGTTTCTGGAAAAATTTTGAGTATGCAGTTTATAGATCACAAAATTTTAGGATCATAAAGTGCACGTTCCTGGTGGTTAAGAGTTTGCCTTGCTTTTTAATATTTTTCTTTTTATTTCGCTAAAATTTCAATCACATCTTGCTAAATGGGAAATAAAAGCGTTCTCTTTGTCTCGCAGTTCATATTCTTATTAAATATATATATATATATATATATGTATGTATGATTAAAACTCAAACAAAATTTTATGACCTATATAGTCCGGTCAAATTATACCAAAAATAGGAGTGAAGTTACAAAAATTCCCACCCAGCTGAAAATTGGTAGGATTGTTCAAAACATCATCATAAATGAAATCTAGAAAGTCCTCATCGAAATTGAAGGACGATTATTTATTCAAAATTGATACTCACAACAATTTCTTAAAAAGAGTTAACCTATCATATTATCGAAAATGTTTGAAACAGGGATAAAACCTTACCTAAATACTTACTATGTAACAGACCTACCTTAAATTATACTCAACAATAAAAGAGCGCTTAATTTACTTGGTTTAAAAGTACTAAACTGACAAATTGTAGTATGTAGTACATATGTAGCTCTGCTCTAAAATATAATGCTGCAATCCCACAAACATCCACTAAAACTGAAGCATTTAATGATTCACCTCGTCGTTTACCAAGTAAACATTTCAACATGCAAATTCACAAATAGTCGTTTTTGCGTTAGGTATGTAGACCACCGCAATCAATGTACTGCCCATTTGTAAATGTTTGTATGCACTGATCACTAAACCGCACTCAACTCATTCTTGTTGTCATTTGTTGACTCGTTAGCCGATTTTTGGTCTATTTTTTTCCTTAAACTGCTGTAAATTTGTGTTGGATAACTTTAGAATTTCATGTTGTATAACACTTTGTCAAATACTTATGAACATGCAACAAAAACATGCGGTATTTATGTACATACAAAATTATGGGTGTTAGTATTTGCAATGCTTTCTGGGTTTTTGATTGTGCAGCAGGCAAAGTTTAATTAATTTCATAAAGGACTTTTATGTGCCAAAATGTCAGAGGAGGCAATATTTGTTACCCGCCATTGTCACTTGTGTATATATTTTTATCTAGCTACGTACATACATACTTACTATATTTAGTAATGCATGTAATCGCTGGAATACATGCATCTAAGTTATTCGACCGCAACCAACTTGACTCATTTATCTGCATATTATGCTCAGTGTGGCGAGTGTTTATATACATATGTATGTATGTATGTATGTACTTCCAAGCAAATATATGTATGTATGTATGTACATATACAAGTGCAGCACGACATACAATACTTGTATATATCCCAATTAAACTTTAGTCCTTGCTGTATCGCTGGCTTTCTCGTGTTTTAAGCAGCCTTTCGCGCTCACATTTATATACATACCTTTCATGAGCATGAAATGGTATAATAACTATGGTCCGATTTCTGTAAATACCAGAATAAGAAGAGATAGGACCCATTAAAATGTATTGTTAAATGATCGAAACGTCGAGCTGAGTCGATTTAGCCATGTCTGTCTGTCTGTCTGCCCGTCTGTCCGTCTATTTGTGTGCAATCTAGTCGCTCAGTTTTTGAGATATCCAGATCAAATTTAGTAGGTGAGTGTATTTTTTGATAATGTACTAATCATTTGTCGGAACCGGAAGAATCGGACCACTATAACATATAGCTCCTATACAACTGATTGTTCAGATATGAGGTATTCAAGAATGATAGAATACAAGATTGCGCCAATCGAGCTGAGAGTAACTGCCCGTGACGTCAATAAATACCAGAATGAGAGAGCAAGACGAACTCGACAAGAAAAAGAGGAAGCATCGAACAAAAGGCAGTATTGCCAAGGTTTGAATTTGAAAAAGCACCAAATATTTATTGGTGTATTTTATGGACTTTATATGCATACATAATTATATTTTGTAAGGATGCCGATTCAAATTAATAAAAATGAATGTTTCTTGCCCGACGGTCGATTTCTTCTGGCTTGATTGAAGGTGCTGCCACATATTTTGTTGTCGCTTATGATTGTGCCATGATTTTATTTAAATTTTTGTGAAGTTGCTTACCACGCTTATGATTGCTATAAATTTTGCTTCCATTTTTTTAAGATTTTATAATTTGGTGTCTTCAAACTAAAAACAAAAGCACCAAAAACGCACCAAGCACCAAACTCAAAAATGTTCGCGTTTTGAATACCCACTAGATTTGGTGCAAAAAGCATTAAGTTGGCAACAATGAATGTAAACAAAAGTATTTTATGACGTCAGCGATTGGGTGGATGCTGTCAAATCGACGATGAGAGGGTTAGCGGTCCGCGAATGGCGCGACCTTTATTTTCTAGATCGTGTTAGGTATTTCGTTATAACTACGCCATTTATGCAGCTCAGAATATGGAATTTTGCAATACTTCCACTCATTATCAGCAAAAGACTTAGAGTGAGAATTACAAAAATCGGGTCACTATAACCTATAGCTCCCATACAACAGATTTTACGTTATAACTTCTCCATTTAAGTAGCTAGGAACATGAAAATTTGCACTGTTGTCACTCATTATCAAAAGAATACTTTCAGTGAAAATGACGAAGTTCGGGTTGATTAACCTATAGCCTCCAT